GGAAAGGCCCATATGATATAGTGGATCGTCTCTCAGACGTGACGTTCTGGATAAAATGTGGTCAGCGAGGTAAGCCAAAAGTGGTGCATGCCAACAGGCTTTGGCATTATCACGGTCCAGGACATTTCAGTTGGGATGAAGTGAACAATGGAACAAATGCCGCTGCTGAATAAGTGTCATCTGAAAAAGCCACTGTCGTAAAAGAAACTCTACTCGGTTTTGATAAGGGAAACAGTGAAGCCCTTTATGAAGTTACTACCACTGATGTGACTGTTACCGAATGAATAGGACATTTTCTGATGAAGCAGATGAACCCCACATGAAGCAGAAGCCAACGAGACGGAGACCAGTACAGAAGAAGAAGAGACTTTGTTGAATTTTAATTTTGTGTTTGTAAATTCTGTACATTTAATTAAGTTATTGTTAATTGTTTATTGGTTTAATGTAAGTGGCTATTGTTCGGGACGAACAATACTGAGGAAGGGGCAGTGTTACAACAGCGGGGGTCACGTGACGCTAGTAACACGTCATATTCTCGAAAGTTCGTGAATGCTCGAGTGTTTACTAGATATGCGGTATTAATGTATATAAGACTGCAAAGAAGTGACGGTAACAATGGAATGCAGTTGAATTGCAGACAGAGATAGATACGGACAGTTGGGTCGAGCGTGTGTGTCATTCGTTGTGAATTATAGCGTTAGTTTAAGTTATAGAGTGACCGTGGAAATTAAGTGTATTGCAAAGTTGTATTGAGAAAGAATAAACTAGTTTTATTTAAGAAAGGACTTGTGTCGCTAAAGTTTCTTCGGAAAGAATTTTCACTGAAAATTAACTAACGACCAGAGAAGTAACAATAGCTTAATACAGAAACGATTTAAGTTTGAAATTGAATGGATGTTTTTACTTTCTTGAGAAATTTTATGCACTTTTCACTATGCTACGTGATCCCACAACGTTTTTACTTTAGGCTTATTATACCAACACTCACTACACTTATAAGATTTAACGGCACTCCCCCCCCTCACGGGTCCCTTGCACCCCTGGCACTAAAATCGTAATGGGCAGATGGTTATCGAACTATTCTGACTGGATAAATGCATTTTGGCTATAATGCCTCCTGTTTTGAGAAATCAAGCGTGACGCGACACGTACTGGCTTATATATAAATGTTAGATATTGTAGATTCGTGTTTCGATCTTTTTGTATTTTGGACACCTTTTGTAGTTCACTGTGCGCTGTTGCTTACAGTTGCAACAATATAGATTTTTCCTATTCCTTTGGGCACATAGAGTTGTGATGTTCTCCGCCATACACTGTGGGAGAGCTTTACAAGCAGTCGCCACATGTCCATATCATTGGCAATTAAAACATTGCCTTACGACAAGTGCAGATGTTTTGGATTCTTCTACCAGAAATCGCCGATATCATAGAATAATCCCGTTAGTTACTGGGTTCTGGATATCCTGTGTTTCGTGTGTGTGTACTCTAATAATGCTTTGTGTTTTTATATTCTGCTAGAGATGATACGTTCGACTTTCGTGTATTGAATGTTTTGTGGAACTTCATTCTGGTTGTTCAATGTCTATGCTGTAGTGAATTTCTTTGATCACAATGGTTTTGCATTTAGTTTACTTCCAGGCAAATACATCTATATATGTCCTGGATGAAAGGCATCTTCAATCCATTGTTTGAGAAAACATTTTAGTTCAACAGCCTCTGTCCCTTTGATGAGGAGTCCGCCCCTGAGCTAGACGTTTGATAGCAGTTATTTTAGTGTTAGGTTTACAACGTTTGATTTCCGCTGCCAACTGTAGTTTTTTGTATAATGCTACTTCTAGGGATGCCTTCTATAATACTAAAGTGTTTAGGTAGTGTTAGGTCTCCGTCCGTTAGTTAATTTTCCGTAAATTCGTTCTGACGAAACTTTAGCGACACAAGTCCTTTCTTAAATAAAACAGGTTTATTATTTCTGAATATAACTTTGCGATGCACTTAATTTCAACAGTCGCGCTATAACAAACGCTATAATTCTCAACGAACGTCTCACGTGCTCAACTTCAAC